GACCATAATCGAACCTGGCACCATTTGGTCCACAGGCTGATGCTCTTTCCACTAAACCAAACCGGCTAGGGCATGACTGAGTAGTACTTGATGAGCCAAATAATCCTTATCACAAATCTTCCCCATAAATCTTTACTTGTGGAGATTCATTCGTACCCCAATCTGCACATCTACCTGGATAGGCCCTATTAATGCCCCACCTCTGTGCCATCACATCACATTGACCCATGTAAGTCCTGCACAACTGTTTTTCTTTTAATAATCAAGTTCAATGGCACTGGACTTACTTAGAAGGAAAATGATTCTAGAAACTTCAGTGAAGGTGAAATCAGAAGGGATATTTTAGAAAGAGGTTAAGTACTCCCTAGCTTTCAAGAGTATGTTCGCCCGGCTGGTGTGGCTCAGTGGTTGAGTGGCTTCATATGAACGAGGAGATCATGGTTCTATTCCTGGTCAGGGCACATGCCTGGGGTTGTGGATGTGCATAAGGCAGCCGATCAATGCTTCTCTCCCATCACTGATAGTTCCATATCTCTCTCTCTCTCTCTCTCACTCTCACTCTTACTCTCACTCTATCTTCCTTTCTGAAATCAATAAAAATATATGTATATATTTTTAAAAAGAATATGCTCTTGCCCTAGCTGGTTTTGCCCAGTGGATAGTGTCAGCTTGAGGATTCAAGGGTCCCACCTTCGATTCTAGTCAAAGGCATGTACTTTGGTTGCAGGCACATCACTAGTAGGGGGTGTGCAGGAGGCAGCTGATTGATGTTTCTCGCTCATCGGTGTTTCTAACTCTCTATTCCTCTCCCTTCCTCTGTAAAAAAAATCAGTAAAATATATTTAAAAAAAAAAAAAAAAAGAAGAAGAAGAAGAATATGTTCTTCTTTTCTTGGCTCACTTGATAAGGAGACGCCAAGGAAGAAAACATCCTCTTCTATCAAAGCTTCACAGTCAGAGTCATGGGACTGTAATGCTTGAGAGAACCTTAAGATCTCCTGCAGTCTAAAGCAACCTGCTCCTCTTATAAATAAGGAAACTGCATGGCTTTTGAAAGGCCACAGGTAGTAACAGGCAGAACTGGGACACAAAAGAGTGTTACTGACTCAAGCAGTGGCTAAACGACAGTGTCACTTCACAGGGAGCCAGCCTGTCTGCCATTTTTGTTGGTCTTGGCCTTTCAGAAAGAGCCCGTGGAGCCCCGATGCTGGGCTGTCCGCCACAGGAGTACCATTTCTTTCAGGGGCTTCCCACCATCCAATCAGGAAAAACAGCAGGCGGGAAGCAATGAAGGGGAAGGCAGAAAGGAACTGAGCATTTCTGTTTCGTTTTGCTTACAGTGGATCCTCTATCCACCTCAATATTAAGTTAAATGCTGACATGTTTCCAGGGAATGTTTTACTAATAAGTAAAGATTTCATTGTGGTTTTAAAATGCCCTAGCATTTTGTTTTCTTGTAACCCCACTTTCCTCAGATTTAGTTGTTTATCCCCTACAGTGATGAGTGCAGTGCTTCACACGAACATTGTAGCTGCTCAATAAAACGTTTAGGCTGCCGATGTCAGTGTTTTTATTTATTTACTCAGCAGGAAAGGTTCAGCAATGAAATAAGACTTTGCAGTTTGTAAAAAGTAACTCCACAGCTCAATCGTCATGACTTACAAACGCTGGCACTACCTGTCCCAATTACATTATAGAATGTTTTGGCCTGAGAAACTACCAAAATAGCATCAGATCTAAAAACAAGAGTAGAAATTCGTTTTGTTTTGTTCTGCTATGTCTTTTTCTCATTACAAGGTTGTGTCTGCTCTATGGTCTGCAAGAAAATAATCATGTTACTGATGCTAAATCATGTTAGACATAGTCATGCTCTGCATAACATTTTGGTCAATGCCACCATCTATAAGATGGTGGTCCCATAAGATTTTGGTAGAGCTGAATAATTCCTACTGCCTAGAGACATCGTAGCCTGGTAATGTCATACCACAGTGCATGACTCACATGTTTGTGGTGATACTGGTATAAATAAACCTACTCTGATGCCAGTCATATAAAAATATAGCATACGACCATGTCTAGTATATAATACTTGAAAATGAGAATAAGCGAATATGTTACTGTCTTACACTTTCATCGTTATTTTAGAGTACACTCTTTCTACTCAGGAAAAATAAAAGTTTGTGTAACAGTATGTTGTGTCACATAGGCAGCACCCGCACACCTTTCATGATTATTGTGCCTCTTGATTGCATCATTTCCTCTTGTGCTTGATTTAATCTCATGTTGTTTTGTACAGTAACAAGCTGTACTTAAAAGGAACCCGTACAGTAAGTACTCACTTAATGTCACCTATAGCTTCTTGGAATTGATGTGAAATGATGTATAATGAAACCAACTTTACTATATTAATTGGTATAAAGAAGAGTTAAAAGTTCCTATTAAAGCATTTCGTCAATGTTATAATGAAATAACGTTGAACAAAACGACATTGATTCAAGAACCTACTGTACTGTGTCTCCACCCATAGGTAAGTACATAAAAAATCTAGGGAGGCATGTTTGGGTAATCGGTACTATTTCTAATGCTTCTCAGATGACTCTCGCGTGCAGTCAAGAATTTTGAACCCTTGTACTATGCAGGCATTAGATAGGGAGGGAAGAATAGCTAGCCAGGCCTGGCAGAGAAGACCTAAGAAGTCATGTGCACTTGTGATTCACTACCAGAAGTTCATGAAGAACATCCATAAAGTACTACTGAGTGATGCATGCTACTCACCAAACATTCATTACAATATTATATACAAGTTTGACTTTTAGACTACCTATCATAAAGAGGAGGGAACTCAAAGAAAATCAATCCATATGATGGAAGGGAATGAAAAGAGCAAACTATATTACAAAGTGATTCTAGAACTGGGTCTACATCAACTTCAAGAGAAAACATCAGCAATATTTCAACAACTATTTTTTAAAATGATAAATAAATCTTGTGTCACTTGGATGCAAGGTATAGTATTGATAGCTATTTTCAGAAAGAGTATTTGACAATAATTTACACAGCGCTAACATTTACTGAATGTAAGTATATATATTTTAAAGAAATGAAAATATTCAGACTTGTCAGAAGTTTCTCAGATTTTAACCCACAGAGTATTCTTTTTGATGAGTTTATGTGGGTTTCTAGAGAAACAACTTGATAATCTATTACAACACCAACTGTACGGTATGTAACCATTTTCCTTCCTCTTTGCCAGCTGGGATGCCAAACATTCTCTGACATTTGCAGCCCTGATTTTGGCCCTAAATAACACAACCTTTGCTCCAGTACAAACCCAGGGGTTAGCAAAAGAAATCAATCTCTCAGGATACCTAAAGAGTTCAAAATGTTGTATAAGAATTGAACTGTATTAGCATTTCTATTTAGGACTTTTGTCTAGCCCTCCTGATGGTATAGTAAATTTATTACATCATGTCTTTCCTACTGTCAGGGTCAGGGCAGGCCACCCCAAAATATCATACATTAGCATATTGATAATTTTGAATTAAAGTTACTTGGCAAGCAGTCAATGCCAAGAAGGGCACAAGGACCTTCCCTTCTCTTCTTGAATGCAGGAAATAAATCTCCCCTATGAAAAGTCTCCTACTTGTTACAGAATACTGACACACTTATCCCTAGAGCTAAGGAATTCAGGATTACAAAGCTTGTTATTTCTTTATATATTTATTAATTTTGTATAAACAAAACTTGTTATTTCTTTACTAATTTACTATTGAACCCAAACTTCGTTTAGATTCTTCACTAATGAATACACAAATCTAAATTTCTTTGTCCTGTCAATGCATCATTTCGTTGTCTAAAATGCATTAAGAGCTGGCTGGTTCATAATTTCTCAGAGTATCATTTATAACCTCCCACATGCACATATTAAATTACTTTTTCCTCTGTTCACTTGGTCTTATGTTGTTTTTATTATTAGTTCAGCCTTAAGAACTCAAGAGAGGCAAAGAGGGGATTTGTCCCCCTCCTCAACACTACTTTCTACTGTTATAATGCAATGTAACATAAACAAAGTTTACCTTGGATTCTCCCAGTACCCAATGACACCTAGATTAGCCAGTGTTCTAAAATATTAGTTTAGTTTAATAATATGAACACATGAAAGAATGCATACATGAACCAAAATCTTACCGGTATGTTATTGTGTTCATTACCACACAAATCAAGTAAGTATGTTTATTCTTCACTTGTTCATCATTCATTCATTAATTTAGCTTTAACTGAAAATCTATGTATTCTGTACTGTGCTGAATGGTCAAAAGGAATGGCCCCTACAACTAAGAACCTAGTGAGATGTCATCAGAAGCAATTCTAGGGATTCAAGTGCACAACCACATAGGTTGTTAAATATATTGGACACATCCATTTAATTGATAAATAAGTGCTAAACCAATAGTTAATATGAAGGACCAACCTCACTAATAAACAGTGATTAAGAGCATTTGAAGGCTATGATTGAGAGGGATTTCTGGTATCTCATATTTGGCTACCTCTAGGGTAAGAGAAGTGTTACATGGAGCAATTGAGGAAGGGGATGGACTTGGGGAATGACTCACTGAAAGAAAACAGGTGGGGCTGTGGGTAGAAGAAAACTCTGAGTACAGTAAGTAAGGCTTCAGAGAAGGCTTGAAGGAGCCATGGTTTGCTTAAATTAAGGTGTTCTTGAGAACTCTATCCACAAGCAAAGCAGAGGACAGGCAATAAAATGAAGAGAAACCAAAGAAATTAGGTTATCTGAGGATGTACTTTAATAAAAACAAGTTTTAATTTGGTTAAATCCTGACCCGTCTTTAGTATAGCTTTCTTAGATATTCTTAAACGTACTTCATAGACGATTGTACTTTTTAACACTATCCCAAGTCAGACTCTTCCTCTTCATACAACAAAGAGGAGGGGAAAGGACCCTCTTGTGAATAAATAGGTTAAAAACAGGAATATACATACTCATCCTTGTCCACCTTCTCTCGAAGCTTCTTTAGTTGTTTATGTTGGCCGAATTTCACATTTTGCATTATGTTCTCAAAGTATTCATCTTCCTTGTACTTGTACTATATCATACAAAAGATTTTGGTGAAAATATTAAAACCAGAATCTTTAAAACTTTTGCTAAAAACATAGAGGATATTTTCTTAAATTCCACATATTAATCAAGTTAACAGAGGACATTAAAACTTACCAAAGAAGGATTTAATTCCAATCAGTCTAGTTCTACATTACAGGTCACTGTTGCTGTGGTTGAATCACCACTTCAGTGTAATTAAACTCATAAAACTAAGTGTCAGGCAAGCCTTACCATATTGATATTAATCCTTATATACCAGATGTGATAACAGCATATTCTTATTTGTACCTATTATGGGCCAGGCAACATTCTAACAATATTTTAATAATCTTGTGAAGATGGGCTATATCACCACTTAAAAGTTGAGAAGCCCAGTCAGGCTGGTATAGCTCAGTGGTTGAGTGTCGATCCATGAACCAAAAGGTCACAGTTAGATTCCCAGTTAGGGCACATGCTTGGGTTGCAGGATTGATCTCCAGTAAGGGGTGTACAAGAGATAGCCAATCAATGATTCTCTCTCATCATCGATGTTTCTGTCTCTCCCTCTCCCTCTCTGAAATCATTAAAATAAATAAATAAATTATATATATATATATGAAACTGAGATACAGACAAGTGCACTGTGGAGCTAGGATTTGAACCCACACAATCAGCTTTGTGTCTATGGTCTTACTAGGCTCCTCTTACAAGGGCCCCCAGGACTACCATGCTACAGCCAGCTAATTTAGAAGAAACAGTCAAGCTTTTCTGCAAATGGATAAGGACAAGAGAACACTGTGGTTTGCAAGTTCCACATCAGACTAGTAATCAATGGATTAGGAATCACTGTCATCTCCGATTTACTCAAGGATTACCTTGTCATCACCAGGGTTTCAAGTAGTTGTGGTAACCAACAAGAATCTCAGCTAAGTCTGAAATAAGTACTGCAGTGACTTTAATCACTTTTCTTCTCTTACCACTGTTACATTATTACCAAAAGAGAAAACAACAGTCACTGGTTGACTGTTGAATAGAGAATGCATGATATAGCTTATCCAGTGGAGGGAATATTAAAAAGTGGGTGGGAATCTGAAAATTTGACTTTTTAGGCCTGTAAGACCTAAAAAGATATGGAGCCTGAGTGCTGCCAGCTGTTCTAGCACTTTGAAGTCTACCCTTGATACTCTTTAAGTTTGAAATTCTTTTTGTTTTGTTTTGTTTTGTTTTGTTTTGTTTTGCTAATCCTCACTGGAGGATATTTCTCCATTGGTTTTCTGAGAGAATGGAAAAGAGAGGGGAAAACAGAGAAATACCGATGTAAGAGAAAAACACTGAATGGTTGCCTCCTGCATGAGGCCTGACCAGTACCCAGGCCTGGGAGGAACCTGAAACCAAGATACGTGCCCTTGACCAAAATTTAACCCGGGACCCTTCAGTCTGCAGAATGATGCTCTATTCACTGAGCCAAAGCAGCTAGGGCTACTGGATTTTTCTTACTTCTTAAAATGGAATATATGGAAGCCAAAATAACAGATGCTGGACAGATCAATGAGACAAAAGGCATTTTAAAACTGAAGCAAACACAGATCTGTCTTCAGTGCTAAAGATTTTTATAATAAAACATATGGGCCGGCGTGGCTCAGTTAAGCATCAACCTATGAAACTGGAGGTCACTTTTCAATTCCTGGGTCAGGGCACATGCCTGAATTGCAGTCTTGATCCCCAATACGAGGCAATAGATCAATGATTCTCTCCCATCATTGATGTTTCTAGCTCTTTCTCCCTCTCCCTTCCTCTCTGAAATCAATAAAAGATACGTAAAAAAATATAATAAAACCTATGGTTTTAGGCTACTTCACATAATTTTTTGGCAACCCATAGCTAAAAATCACATTGCCACTAGCCCCAGGTTTCATTAGCCCAGAGTCTTAGAGACTTACCTCCTCATATTCTTTATTCAGTTTGTTATCATCTGAGAGAATGTCATCAGGATAGCCAATTCTTTCTTTAATTGCCAAGGCCTATGAAAATTGTAATACTGAATGTGAGGATGATTACATAACTTTCATATGCAAACACTGTCATTTGCCCATGAATATCCACTGAGTAACTTGATCCATACCATTTACAAAGTATCAGACAACACTTAAAAAAAATAGTTGAAGTGGCTTCATCCTTGGTCTGAAATTTAGCTTCTAATGCCCTGTACTCACAGGCTTCAGCTTTCCCAAGAAAACCAAAATGAAAGCTGACAAGTCAGCTTCAGGAACTTTTTTCCTGAAAGACTTTTTCTTCGATTTATAGGACGAGTAACATTTAGAGCTTCCATTCTAGCAGCTAATAATTATCTTTCCACATTACCGATTTGGCTGAGAAAACAGATATGGGCTTATGTGTTCCTGCTAATATTCTTCCTGAATATTGTTTCTTGGAGTTTTTATGTTCTACCTCAGTCTCCAAAAGCCTGTGTACCTATCTTCTCAAAATTAAATGAATGACATTAGTTAAACAAGTAGCAAACAAGTTTTCCTTGTTATACCAGCTCACATTTTCCTCTTGCTTACTGCCATTTTTAATTTTTATGTTTAGTATTTTAAAGTAATTTACTTATTTTTATTATTTCATGATTACCCCTTGTTTAGTACTTGCTATTTCTTTTTTTCTGAAAGATATTTGACTTTCGATGCTAACATATCCATTTGCTCTTAAATAATTTAATTAATTTAAATCTGTCACGGGGAATTAAGCCTGTATCTAAGTTATTTGGTTTGCCATCAAAGGGATGTAATTTTGCTACAAATCTGTTTCATAAGCCCAGGATTTCCCCAGTGGCTGGGGCAGGATATGTGTCACTATCAGTCAGGCCATGCCCACTTTCTTATAGGTTTCCACACATTATTAATCAGCCCCCTCTTATTAGCACTTTATTTTCTAGAACACACATTTCCCAAAAGAGTGTTCTAAGGACCCAGAGTCTACTGAAATAAAGTTATTGCATAAAAAGAATTTATTGTCAAATACTTTTAACAAATACTATGACAAAAGCAGTAAGCAGTCTTCTTCATTGCAGGACTTCTTACAGTAAAAAATTAGGTTGTTATAAGTGTCCAAGAGGAGGAGTTAATTTGTTTCTTTATTCATTCAATATATGTTCAAGGATTTACAATGAGCCCAGTACTTTGCAAGGGGCTGAGGCTTCAATACCAGGCAAAATTCCTGCCCCCTAAAGAGCTTACCATAAAGATCAATGATAAGCAATGAGATGAGCATTTACTCTCAGTGTGATGTAAGATGCCATAAAATCACACCCTCAGAGCATGTAACCTAGACTAAGATGGGATCAGGCAGTGCTTCCTAAAGTCTTTTGACCAAGGGACTCTCTTTTGTGGGACAACTTGGCAGCTGTTTTGTGACACCACCATGAGAAATGACAATCTAGAACAATTCAATAGCCTACATCCAACAGGGAGCTAGAACATGAATGAAGCAAATCCAGCCCAAATTTCTGAGGACTTTGTTGGAATAATGAATATATAAGGAGGCTTAAAATCTAGACCTAACCTATTCAAGGCCCCTGTGAAGCTGAAAAAGATAGTCCTTTCATGTAATTTAATCTAAAACAGAACTACACTGCAGCTTGACTCTCTTATTATATTAGGTTTTTGAACTCCCTCTGTTATCAGTTTAAAATATGATCTGTTCTTCTTGCCACTTTAACTACAAATAAATAATCAAGTTGCCTGTGAGTACTGCTCATAAAGCACATACAGTTGTCACTGGACATGTTGTTCCTCTTAGTTTTATATAGTTAGCAAGATAATGATCATAGTAAACTTAAACCTAAAATTTCCTTAGAAATATCACCTTTCTTCTTATGCAAAATATTCAAAGTCCCAAAAAAAGGGACTATAGGTCACCTTATAAAACTAAAAAAGTGCACCATCTTACATTTGTTTGAACAAAAATACAGTATTTTTTTCTCTCTGTGTTTTATAAAAAACTAGAGGAGGCATGTTTTTAAAAAATTAGATAGAAATTTGCATTACAAACTGAGGGCGTATTTTTGAGATTGTTAAAGGCCTTTGAGATATACTTCTTAAAAGAAGAAAAATTTTAAACCACTAACACCATTTCATTCTTTACTTGTTAACATAAGATTTTCTTCTTATTTTCAGAAGTCTTCCTTTAAAAAATGTGGAGATCTTCCAAAGTTTTGAACTGAACATGTAGAGAGTAAGAGTTGATTACAAAGAAATAATAAAAAATGGAAATCATAGAAAAAAAATATTTATCCATAAAAAAATGTTCCTGAAAACATTATAATTCTGAAGGAACTTGCTTTTATTTTATGTAATTTTTTTCTCACTGTCTTTGATCAGGTTTTTATTCAAATTCTTATGCAATTCTTGATTATCTTTTTTTCCTGAATTATCTTAAAAATTGGTATTTCTTTATTAAAAACTTTTTTCTTCGATAGTTAGCCCTGTCTTGCTTTTTTACCTTTTCTTCAGCTCTCTTTTTTGTTTCAGCATCCATCCAAGTCAGCTCATCCAAAGTCTGAATAAAAACTTCCCGAATCTGTGTAATCAAATCCTCAACCTCAAACCAAAAGAACAGAAGACAAACTTAGGCCATTGATTAATTTTTTATAAAACAAATTGAAAGAGACAATAGTGGGTGAAAACCTGGGGTAGGTGAGGGGCAGGAACAGGGTGGATAGGGTAAATGGGGGGTGGGAAGGGGATATCAGTAATACTTCCAACAATAAAGATAAATTTAAATTTTTTTTTAATTTAAAAAGCTATAATCTATCTTTACTAGTATGTGACTTAATAATATATAAATTTTTAGGCAGACTATGACCTAAACAAATAGATACAATAGTATGTGAAAAATTATATTTTTAAAGCAACGTTGTTTTTATCAATACTTATGATTAAATAGTTATTGTATCTATACATTGATCAGAAATCATGTTAAGAATGTACTGGTTTCCATTATCATAAAAGAAGTAACATAAAATATTAGCTGTCATTACCATTTGTAATTTAGTAAAGCATGAAGCAGCATTTCAATAGATTATTTCACTGTATCTTGAAGCTGCATTGCTTTCACGTTAGTAACAATGAAAAATAGAGTACCTTCCTTATACTTCAACTAAACCTGGGTTTACTTTCCAGGTTTTAAAAAAAAAAAAAACACACTAATTTTTGGTCACAATTTTGCTAACAGAAGATTTTAGAAATGACTGTATCACTAGAACATGTGACTGTTTCCAGAACCTACTGCTTCTAGAAAAAGGTCAGTTGCCTTTGGATTAAATAATATTAGGATCAGAAACACAACCAGACTCTTGAGAGAGGGAGGATGAGATTTATTGGGAAGTAATGGCAAATTAGGATTCAGAGGTTACCTGACAATTAATAAAATTTTAGCCCAATTATGGACCTACTAATTGACCCTCAATGCAAACAAGTGAGGGATAGTGTGCTGTGCTGAAAACATTACCACGTGTTTACTGTCTCCAGCAAATGCTGCTTGCACATAAAGCCTTCCCACGGCGCTGTCCATGTTGGCGTTGACAAAGTTTGCACAACGTCTCCAAGTGGCTATTTCTGATGTTGTGCCATAAAGGGCCTGTGGGAGAGAAAAAGGAAACGGCGTTTGATCAGGGGTAAGATGGGAGAGCATGGTCAGAACACAAATCTCACAGGACTCGCTGTTCTTTATGTCTCCTAAGCTCTTGCAATATTCACTGCTTCTCCTCACAAGGCACGTTGTCCTTGCCGATGATAAAATGCAATCTAACTGGATTGTTTGCTTACATACCTTTTGAAAATAAGATATATTTTCAGTATCTGCCCCATAGGACTTCAAGCTACTACAAGTTAACGTCCTTCTAGACCCCTTCAAGGAAAAAAACAACCCCAAAAAATCCTCCCAAACAAAAAATAATGCCATTACCTCTGCATAAACATAAATATGAAGTAATGTTCAATAAACGTCATAATGAGAGAAATCTGCTATACAAAAAGGCACATTCCTTTTTGCTGAATGTTTTAGCTGAACTTCCAGCACTTAGAAGAAATCTATGTATAAATTTAAGTACCAATAAGGGGACTAACTTAGGTAAGGGAAATTTAGCAAAATACCAATTTTACATTCTTTAATTTTAAAAAAATGTGTCTGTATTTTCTTTTAAAGGGTAAAAAACACAATTTCGATCAGAAAGTTATTTCCTTTCCATGACACCAACCAATGCTGGACACCAACCATTTGCTAGAATTTCTCCTTTCTCCTCCTTCCTCCCTCGCCCCCTCACAACACAACTCGAATGATGACTGTTTAAATGTAGGCCCGGCCCAATAAAGGCCTTAAGATTGTCTCCAGGTAGGTGTTAAAGGATTGTCCACCTCAACGTACTCCATCTGTGTGTAAATCTAATGTGCTACAAACACCTGAAAAATCAAGTTAATTGTGATATCCCTGCGATTAATTTCAACACCACACAAATACCAAGCCAGGATGTTTGTTTCATGAACTGCTCACATAACCAAATTCAAGCATGATGCCACAGGAGACAAACATAGGATGGGAAAGACCATAAAAACTGGCTTTTCCATGATGGCTTTTCCAGACATCATAGCCTATCCATGGGCAAAATAAGCAACATTTGGCATTTTTGTCTCTTGGCCAAGTTCACCACATGCTAGCAGTGTACATGGCACCTTCATAACCATGTGTCTCTTTATGTTTTAAGTCTTAAGAAAAGAGAGATTGTATCTTCACCTTGCGAAAAGCATTTCTGGACTCCTTGTAGGTTCTGCTGAGGCTGCTTACAAGATCCATTATGAACCGCCAGGACATTAAATTTTGAAGATCTCTGTATAAAAAAACCCACCACCCAGCAACAAAAAAAAGATGAGGCTGCAAAGCTTCTAAAGAGTGATATTAAATGTAAACTCTGAGGATGTGGGCACTCTGACATACTTACCTGGCAGAGTATTTGGCAAGAATGAGCTTAAGTTTGGTTAAATATTCTGGAGCATAAACAACCACATCTTCTTCATTTGTAATTTTAATATCCACAGTAGACATAATTTCATTTGTGAAATTGAACCAGCTGAATGGCTGGAAAAGAAGTAGGCACAAAACACTCAGTAATTATGAATTTCTTGATTCCAACACTCAATTATGTTCAGGGGTCAGACATAGTTAGGGCGTCAGTGCAGCACAATATAATTATAACAATCATCCTGTCTGATACTTGCATGGGATTGTCCTTCAATTGTTTCAATTGGTTTCTGAATAAAAATTAGTTTGGCAGCATGGTTATTTTGATAGCAGAATTAAACCAACCATTTAAGAACAAAAGCAAAGCCTATAAGTGTAGGGAAAATACAGTTATAAGTTAGGCTCAGTGTCATCTTGGTCTAATCAATATAAATTAGAAGAAAATGTTAGCTTTAAAATTTATGCAAAAATTTAAATGGGTATAAAGTGTTTATCTTTTAAAAGTGGGTTTTATTAAACAATCCACGCAGCTGGCATGACTTGGTGGTTGAGCATCGACCAGGTCATGGTTTGATTCCTAGTCAGGGACACGATACATAGGGGGTGTGGGGGGGTTGGGGGAAGGAGTTGCAGGAGACAGCTGATCAATGATTCTCTCATTACTGATGTTCCTATCTCTCTCCCTCTTCCTTCCTTTCTGAAATCAATAAAATATATATATTTTTAAAATAAATAATCCATTAAAACGGTAATATATTTCTGTGAAGATCCTGTAGTAAATGAAAGCACATTAGTTATAGCAGAGATTCAATGAAGTTAGAGATGCACCACAGAGGATCCAACGAAGCCCAACAGAACACTGTCAACATAAGGTCTATAGGCATGTAGTTTTACTCTTCAGAAGCTAAGTTTGGAGTTGCCAAAAGATGGAATCTTGTCTCTTTAAAATGGGAATTATAGTTATTCAACCACCAGTGGATATAAGGAAAAACAGTAAGAGTGGAGATCTGAAATGCCACATTTCAATGCTTAAGAATGTTTCAAATTACCAATATTTTAGGCTCTAAGGTTATACAGATAAGTATATACTATGCTGATCACTTTCTAAGTATGAAATGCGGTGTACTGTTCCTTTGGTGGTTTGGATCATTCTTTCAAAACATACTTATTAGGCACTTTACAGCATGGGTGGACCTGGAGAGTATTATGGTAAGTGAAATAAGCCAAAGACAATATCATATGATTTCACTCATATGTGAGATTTAATTAACAAAGTGGTCTAACAAACAAGATAGAGAGCAGGCTGACAGCTGTTGGAGGGGAGGTAAACTGGGGATGGGGTAGGAGGGGGGTAGAGGGATTGAGCAAAAAAGGGGGGAAAAGAGAAAAAAAATCATGGACATGGACAACAATGTGGTGGTTGTCCTGGGGAGAGGGTGTGGGGGAGGTGGAGGAGGGTATAGGGGAGATCAGTAGTGATGGACAGACTTGACTTGGGATGGTGAACACACAGTACAGGGCACAGATAAAGTGTTATAAAATTGAGCATCTGAAACCTGTATATTTTGCTAACCAGTATTGTTTAAATAAATTCAATTTAAAAAGTTATATGAGGAATTCCTAACTAGAAAGGTTATGCTTTTTAAAAGTCCCTTTTTATTATAATTATTGCCAAAGCAAATCCATCACTGAATGTAGTCATTTGCAGATTTTCCCATGGATGTAGTTTTATTTTCCGATTGTATGCCACAACGAATACACAAATACACATGAATAGCCTCCCAAAGAGATAATTACATACCAGCTAATGAATTACTACTAAGCAAAAGGATGTCAACTGCTGCTTATAAATGGAACCTATGAGACAGAGTTTTCTTATTTCTTGTGCTCTATTTCTCCGTTATTGCTCTGAACACCTTGTAGATGCTTTGATGCTTTTATTATCTGACTGTCCAACTCTGATGGCTATATAATGATCTTTTTGAAGGATTTTCAGATTCATATTTTCCAAACCCCTTTCTATGATTATTCCCACCGTTATTGCTTAACTGCCTTGAAAAGGACTTTGACTTTTAAAATCATCTCTAATTAAATATGATAGTTTCAAATCATTATTTTTTTTCCTGGTCCTGTAATGAAGTCAGCTGGTCAGTGTCAGCTAAATTCATTTAATATTCAATTTACTTCAATAAATAAGAAATCAATGAAGTTTAAGGAACTGTATTTCAATGTTAGAAGTTTTAGAAATGGCACAATAAGAGAGGACATAAAACTTGCTACTTACCTTCCCATTGATATCTAATGAGAAGTTATTTTGGACCTGGGATAATTTCATCTTGTTATAAAGAAGCATTGGATCATTTCGATCTTCAGGTTTAGCTGAAGCCTATGGATTTAAATTTTGATCATTATTTTAGAACTAAGAATTTTTTAGAAAAACATTATATGTAAGGAAAAAAAGGAATATGGGGTAGGTAAATATACTTTAAGTTCTACTCTATACTTACTTTGTAACTTATTTTGTCGTATCAAAAAGGAAATTTAAGAGATTTTAAATATATCCAGTATCATTATCAAGATTTGGCTGTAGTATTGACTATAAACGTTCTCAAAAATATTTTTATATTTTTTAGAATGGCCAAGTCACATAAGCAATATGTGGCCTGCTTCCTTCTGTGGTTAATGGCCAGCTCAGTTGTGTCTGTTTCACATTATAATAATATTTTTTTATATAGTCATCTCCAATTTATTGTGCAAATTCTGCCTCCCACCCCCCCCACCATTATTTTCAGTGTCCAAGTATAATTCAGACAGGAAAAAAAAAAAAAAAAAAAAAAACCAACCCACATCAGAGTGGTTTCTACAAGAATTTAAAGCAAATAAAACAGAGAAAAATTATGTTTAGGTTGCAAAGTATTTGAGGAACACTAGCACTTTGTACTTTTCTGACTAAGCTCCCATCCTGCCTAAGCAGTTTGCTGCTCTATACTAGTCAACCATATCCAGCTTTACTTTTTTCCACTGATTCACAAAAAAAAAAAAAAAAAAAGAAGAAAGAAATGCAATGACATACCCTTTTTCCCCTCCTCCTCCTCTTTCTCCCAGCTAATGACTGAAGTGAATTAAACTGGGACTTGTTTCTCAGAGACAATGGCTCCCATTTCCCCTTTAGGTCACTTATTTATGCCTTTTTTTTTCCCAAAATTATTTATTAACCATCTCCCACATGCAATAATAAGCTGGACACTGTTAGAGATACACAGATGATTCAAAGGTGACTAAGATACCACCCAGACTTCAGAGTCTAAGAGAAGAGAGGAAATATAGACACAAATAATTTTGAGATCCAACTATTAAAAAGCTGAGGCTGATTTAAGGAGAACATGGTCTGGGAAGGTTCAAGTGGTAAAAACCTAGGGCAATGAACTGTTCTCTAATAACTCTGTGTTCAACATAGAGCCACGAGTAACCTAACGATCTTCCATTCATCCTGCTATAGTTCCAAGCAGAGTCTGGCTCTGACAGGAGATTTTTGGTTTCATGTAGTCCCAGGAAAGCTAAAATTGTCCTCAAAGATTTCCAGTCTTCAAGGTTCTGCTGGCAGTGTTAAGTCAATGGGCTGTAGGAGAGCAGGCTGCTGTTTGCAATGTCAGCAAGAGCTCTGTGGAGACTAGACTGAAACCAAACTTGGGTTCAATCCATTACCCTCGATGTTGCTTCAACAGAATTCACTCACTTGAGACTACAGACCCAGTCAGACTAGAAAATGCAAACTCAGACTCCAAGAGTTCACCTGCCACTAGAGGAAATTCATGAAAATACCCTTGGGTTCTGCTGGCAAACTCTTCCTGCGAGATCTCCCCTCCTGAGCTGAGCAGCCTGGCAGTCAGAACTCGGTAACGTCATACAGTCATGCAGCCATGTTCAGGGTTAATATTTCTTAGCCAAGGGACAGAGATATTCTCTATATTTTTTTTTTTAAAGTAACATTGTGCCTATCAAGACTAAAACAGCTTTACTTAACAGTTAGCAATTAAGTGTGTCTTGAGTCTCAAGGACAATTCCACAACAGTTTGGCTGTAGTTAGAATTTTGATGTAATTCACTTGTAACAGGTAATTAAATGTACCTAGTTTAATATTTGTCAAACTTAGTATGTCTCCTGGATGTCGAAAACCCAGTTTACTATAAAATTCTAAGGTCCTCTTAAAGTTAATGATCCTTTACTAAGCTATGCATTTTTATCACTTGGTTAAAGAGTGGTACCTTTCACCCTTAAAATGTAATAGAGAGAAGAAGAAGAAAGAAAAAGTAGTTAATGTTATTCAGTGTATCAGAGATAATGTGTTTTACATTGGCAATTTCTTTTTCCAATTCCATAACTTTATTCATTTCCAGAGAAAGCTGGTTTTCATCTATGGGCAGTCCTCTTTCCTGACGTATCAATTTGGCCACAGAAATCATAAAATCCACATATGCTGTACAAGTCTGCAAGAAACAAATAACAGTAAATTGCTGGCAAACCTTCTAAATATATATCATAGTACTTTAATATAAAATTTTATTTCCCATTCAATATTAATTTCTGGTAAGAGATAAAGCACAATAAATAGATACGTTTTCCTAGAAAATCAATGTGCTATATATATATATATATATATATAGAGAGAGAGAGAGAGAGAGAGAAAGAGAGAGAGAGAGAGAGAGAGCGTGCGAGAGAGAGCGCTATTCATGAAGACATGGCCACAAATTCATATTAATATTAACAGGGTATCTTTATACCTTTATATCTGTTTCCTCTGGCCAACCAGTATTTTTTTTTTCAATGAGATTATGTTCTCATGAGCTCCTCCAACATAAACCTGTGGGTTTTAGTTAATTCCATAGTTGGCTCCCATTACTATGAAATTTCTAAGATTCCATAGATTTGAATATCAGCTTTCTTCTAAGAACCCAAGTGCTGGAAAACAAATCAGTTTCACTAAAAAAGAGATGTTGACAGGAAGCCAGGAAGGCAGGTCAACAACCTTAATTACTCTAACCACTCACCCTTTAGTTGAGACATTGTTAGCTGAAGCAGCCTCCACCTTGTTTGTCCCTTTGTTTCTATTACTTCCTGCCTAAGGGCTACATGTAAATTTCTATTTATGTTGCCTAAGATGTTTTCCCCAAAGCCTCAATAAAAGAGAATGGCAGGGCCAGAGCACTAGTAGTTCTCCCACTAGAGTTGGATGACAGCCTGGCCCCCCATATGGCCAAATTGAATTTCTTCAAGTATCTTTTCATTTGTGTGTGGCCCTTCTCCAGAATCCGAACCCTGAATTGGAACTCTTTCCACGTGGCTCGTGAAAGAGATTCCTATACACAAGTTCTTTGCATTTTATCCGTCATATACATTTTAACTTTGTGAAGGTAAGCTAGTTAAATTATGAAGCGTTTATATAATTTATCAATGTCTTCTTCAAGTTCAGAGTGGCATCAACTCCAGGAAACTGAATGCCATTTTCATAAATCTCAACCCATTGCCACTTAGCCATTATTTAACTATCAGCAAGTAAAATAAATGATGATCCCATCTCATGAAAATTCTCTCATAATCCTAGCACCAAACAACCATGATTACAGAAGCTACACAATTTAGATAGAAGGGAACTGCTATTTCTCTACTACCTGTTCACAGGGTAGGTACAAATGAAGGCTATCCAGTGCTTAACACTTTCACAGTTTCAAGAAAATTTTATATCCCTTCTCATTTATTATCAGTGATAGGGCTATGTTACATTCATCTGAATTTACAGTGACTCATTAAAAGGATTAAACATAAAACTCATGGAGAGATGGGAATTTATTATCAAGCAAGAACTTCAGCAAAATGTACAGTTATTATCAATTAGAGGCCTGGTGCCGGGTAAGATTGGGCCTAAACAATCCAGGACTGCTGGCTCCCACCCGCTCACCTGCCTGCCTGCTTGACTGCCCCTAACCACTTCTGCCTGTCAGCCTGATCACTCCCTAACTACTTTCCTGCCAGCCTGATTGACACTTTAACTGCTCCCCTGTTGGCCTAATTGCTCCTAATTTCCCTCCCCTGCAGGTCTGGTCCCCAACTGCCCTCCCCTGCAGGCCTTGTCCTTCCCAACTGCCCTGCCCTGCAGGCCTGATCACCCACAATGCCCTCCCTTGTTGGCCATCTTGTGTCCACATGGGGGTGGCCATCTTTGACCAATTTGGGGCTGCCATCTTGTGTTGGAGTGATGGCCAATTTGCATATCACCTCTTTATCATATAGCATTTTAAAGTCAAGTAACACTTTTAAGTAAGGTTTAGATACTAGCATACCATGATCTTTATTAAACACTAAGCAAACAGTTCCCTGGGGAGAGGGCTCTCTTTTCCGTGATACCACGTGATGCTGGGAGGTCTAGCTAGCATCTCTATCTATAGATTTGACACTCAATAAAACAAACTATGAGATTTTTAACACAGGCTCAGCTGTGACTCTGTTAAAAATCTAATCATTAAGGCACAAGATAACAGAATGGCTTTATGTGTATTCTTGTGAACTCCATTCTTTTCCTTCTCAAAGGTAATCAGAATTCTTGTTTCACTTTCAAATAAACAAATATGTCTGAGTTAACACCTAATGGGACCAACTATTCCAAAATCTAAGCATGCCGTGATTTTTAATTAACTGTATTTCAAATCATATAAATTCATCTGCATTCATCAGGAAATTGCTACTGAATATGAACAAAATGGTAATTTGCAGTTTTCAATATCAAGCTACTGACATTGGTTTTCACTCTACGGGATTTTTTGTTAATCAAATAAAAAAATAATAAGAAGAATGCTCTCTTGCACTTTGCTGACACTGCAAACTGATTCTACTCCAGTAACTTCATTCTTATAGATGTATCTAAAGACTATAGGCCTGGCCAGTGTGGCTCAATGGTTGAGCCTTAACCTATTAACAAAGAAGTCACAGTTCAATTCTTCATCAAGGCATATGCCTGGCTCAATCCCCACTGTGGGGTGTGCAGGAAGCAGCCAATCAATGATTCTCTCTCCCCATTGATGTTTCTATCTCTCTCTCCCTTCCTCTCTGAAATCAATTAAAATATATTTTTTTTTGAAAAAGACTATGGTACTTGGCCTAACGTAAGCACAGATGGATGCAAGGGATTCTGCGATGCTTAAATATTTAATACAGCTACATGGAATGTACCACTTCCTTTAATGAACTTCATTATTTGGCAACTATTCCAATGTGAATGATTGCAGCATGTCTTAATATCTTGATTATCCTTTCTAACTTCCAAATTTACATAGGAGCTGTCAGAATGCAGGCTTACTGCTGCTGTTAAATCCTTTCTACAAGATATGATTCTACCTCAGGGTTTTAATTTTCTCCCTAGAGATACTTGTAGATATATAAAATGCCAAATGACTGTAATTGTCATGATTCCAGGAAAAGGTAATTAACACATTGTAAAATTTAAATAATACACTGGTCAGAATATTTTTAAAGTTAAAATTCAGTTTTTGTGTGTGTATCAGTGAGAGCAATTGGTTATTAGGACAAGGGTTAGAGTCGGCTATCTTTTTTGAGTCCTAAGACAACCTTGTTCAAGCTTTGATATAGTGAATCCGGTGAAAAAGAAACCTAAATATTTAAATATCTAGGCAGCTCTTCTTTTAAAAATAAAACACTGGCCTGGCTGGCGTGGCTCAATGGTTGAGCATTGACCTATGAACCAGGAGTGATTCAATTCCCGGTAGGGGGGCACATGCCTGGTTTACCATATTGATCCCCAGAGGGATTGCTTCAATCTCATTACTTATAGCCTTTAAGGTAGTAGTGTGGCATGAGGTCAATCTTCAGATAATCAGAATATCTCATAAATCAGGTTCTACCTCTTTAATAAAGAGAGAATGCATGAGAGGTTCCTTGATGAACCCATTTTGAGATCAGTTCTTTTGTCATGACATTTAGTTCTAGTTATATCCAGGGAAAGAAAGCTTCACAGGAGAAGAGCCACTCAGATAAACCAAACTGGTAAGACATGTCAATTTTTAGTGTATGTATTTGTACAGTCTTCTGCCTAATACTTGGCCTATACAACACTGAGTTAACAATCTTTGACTATAAGTCTCTGGAATAAAATAGTGTTTATTTAGTCTTGTTTGGCAACATATGCCATGCACATGAGCTAGCTTAATAATACTTTTAAATGAGATTTGCTCTCGGCTGCTTGTGCAGAATAGCATTGTCTGGAAGGAAAGCTAGATTGAGAACTGAGAAACAGGAAAATTGTAAGGTGGGCTAGAGTAGCTACTTCTCCTCTATCTTCTCATAACAGAACCTTTATTCTGCTTCCTGTTGGTAGGACTGTCAATCAAGGGATCTCCTTTCCTGAGTCATGGAGATTAGCTGACACTATCAACTAGTTAACTAAGTTTCCTGGACACAGTGGCTAGTTGAAGAGCAGATGCCTGAGATAGGATCAATTGGGGACCTTTTCTCAGAATTTGATAGACATAAGGAGATGGAATTGCTCTTTTTCTGGATTGTGAAACTACCAATGATTATCTTTTGATGCCATATGGAGATATAGAGTTCTAGAAAAAGAAGCCAACACACACACACACAAAAAATAGAACCTTGAGAAAGAGGAAGAGATGATATAATTGAACCCCTGTAACTACCATGCCTGATCTATCCCTAGAGCTTTACAGTCAAGTGAGACTTTTTTTTTTTTTTTTTTTAACAATATTTAAGTTCATCCAAGTAGGTTTTCCTGCTTACAATGAATGTCCCTAGCTCTTCTAATCTATGACCTTTAAGCAAGGCATTTTACTTTTTGGGTCTCTGTATCCAATTTAGTTGCACTAAATCCTCTAATGTCCCATTTGACTCTTAGAGTCTGTGCCTGAATAACCTTAATTATTTAAAGAAAATGTACGATTCTGTCATGTAAAAATTATAAGAATATAAATCTTTGGGTTTCTATTGCCTTAGGCTATGTTTCCTTTTTAAGGGAGAGGTAAAAGACAGAAAATGAAAAAGGAACTGAGACATTTAAGTTTAGAATAATAACCACAAGGATACAACATGCATTTCTCAAAAAGATAACATTTAAAACTGCCAGAATAACAGCACACAAAAAGTTTGAAAGGCCTTTTAACAAGAGTAAAGTAGGCTTTCTTTTAAAGGAAGGAGGCCCACCGGGACCGGTTTGGCTCAATGGATAGAGCGTCGGCTTGGGAACTGAAGGGTCCCGGGTTCGATTCCGGTCAAGGGCATGTACCTTGGTTGCGGCCATATCCCCAGTAGGGGGTGTGCAAGAGGCAGCTGATCGATGACTCTCTCTCATCGATGTTTCTAACTCTCTATCTCTCTCCCTTCCTCTCTGTATAAAATCAATAAAATATATTTTAAAAAAATAAATAAATAAAGGAAGGAGGCCCAATATAGTTCTTGAAAAAAAAAAAAAAAAAAAACCAAAACATTACCTACTTTCATTATTTAGTGGTGTCACGAAACAAGGTATTTTACTTGTACTGTGATATGATTTTAATAAAATATTCACAACAACAAAAATTCCATTCTTAAGGTAGCAGAAGTGAACAAATGCTTCTGTGAAGTGAAATGGGCTTTCTTACAATTGTGGGTGCTATGTTAATTGTTTATATGAAGTTTCAGAACTATGAAAGATGATTCTCTGGCTATCCCAGAAGGAAGGCTGAAAAAGAATCTGGGGGAATGGGATTAAGTAATTATTTGATTAAAAAGATCTTTGATTAGGGTGCTTTGGATTAAAGATGGGGAATGACCCTCCCTTATCTCCAGCTCCTGAGGCCTATCTGCACACCCAGACTCCACACCATAGTTTGAGAATCATTAGCTAAGGCAAGGAAGTCAGGCTTCTCTAGTCAAAGACAGCACCTTTCTCGGTAAAAGAAAATGTTGGCAACCTCATGTCAGTCTTCAAAACTTCTCTTGGTTCTTTTCAATAAAATAATAAAAAAGTATGAGGCTCACTAAATGTGTAAATGTCTCAGGCAAATTGACTGTAGCAGAGTTTGAAAAAATGAAAAGGGCCGAAACCATTTGGCTCAATGGATAGAGCGTTGGCCTGCAGACTGAAAGGTCCTGGGTTCGATTCCGGTCAAGGACATGTGGTTGCGAGCACATACCTAGTAGGGGGTGTGCAAGAGGCAGCTGATCGATGATTCTCTCTCATCGATGTTTCTAACTCTCTATCCCTCTTTCTTCCTCTCTATAAAAAATCAATAAAATATATTTTTAAAAAAAGAAAAAGAAAAGATGAAAAGGATACATGGTTTGTAAGATGTTTACAAGATGCCCAGGAAGTATATTCTATGAGCTATGGCTGCCATAAAATTGACACATCCTTAAGAATCAAGATAAGGAAGTAGGAAGGACCCCTAATGAAACTGGGTTCTTCTCTTTTCTTTTTCTTTCCTCTCTTTCCTTCCAACTCCCCCCTCAACCATTCATCCACTGACCTACAATATTTATTTGATAATTATTAAGGACCAGAAACTAAGCTGAGTACTGGGACCAAGGATAAGTGAGATATGACATTGTTCCCATTAAGTTTACAGTTTTTTAGAGAAAAGAAAAAAAAAAAGACATTAAGTAAAAAACGTCTACAGAAACCCATGTGCTATAGAAACATATACTGTAGGTGTCTTCATCTAGTCAAAAGTTCCAAGAGAAAGCAAAATTTAAACTCAGATTTAAAGAGTAAGGGGAAAAGGAAGAGAGCTGGGCAGGTGGCATGTGTGTGTGAAATATTCCTGGTAAAGGAAATAGCATCTCTAAAAACTTATAAGCAAGAAAATCAATGAAGTCCAGCAATACATTAAGATTTCTTCCAGCTTTATGAAGTCTCCACAACATATCTTCTCCACTAGATATCATTTTGTAATCTTGTCCTTTCACCGGTTTTTTTTTCATGAAACAATAAAACACAGAGGAAAATACTTAAAAGGGTTGACTTATTTCAGAGAGAGTGAGGTAGCTGAAAAACTAAAATTAACTTTCATTTAAAATCTGTCTGGGGATGCTGAGGAAATTAAGAAATTTCAGGTGGTAATAATTGGGGAAATGTAGCTAACATTATGAGGAAAATAAGGACAAATTTGATCCTCCCACCCGATGGCTAAACACATACATTCCCCCTTCTCCCCAAACCCATCAAAAGAATTTATTTTAAAAGAGGGGAGGGTACAGAATATTCTAGGAATCATCCATTTTCAGGATAATAATTAGGTTTTATCTCATATGCCAACTGCCTTCAACTGAAAAGAAGTTGCTTGGAACCTGGAGCACTGAGTTGAGAAGTATTTTGCAGTCTGAAGTAAGCAGGAAAGAGTGTGATGACCAAATAGCCATTGTTACAGAAGGGCATCCAGGCAGCAAGATGCTGTGTGTTTGCTAGTCTAATCCAGATCATTGGAGGGGCAACTAATTTGAGCTGATAGTAACTTCTGGGCTGTGCATGCTACTGAGTTTTCTAAATTATTTTCTCATTTAAAGAACTCTATTAGTGCCCTAGCTAATTTGGCTCAGTGGATAGTCATCTGCCTGTGGATTGAAGGGTCCTGGGTTTGATTCCAGTCAAGGGCACATGCCCAGGTTGCAGGCTCAATCCCCAGGAAAGGGTGTGCAGGAGGAAGCCGATCAATTATTCTATCTCATCACTGAAGCAGCCAATCAATGATTCTCTCTCATTATTGATATTTCAATCTCTCTCCCTCTCCTTTCCTCTCTGAAATAATTTTTTTTTAAATAGTTAAAAAAAAAATAAAAGGAACTCTACTAGTATGAAGGACTACTTTTATGAACTTGGAATGATATAATGGAAGGAGCAATAGATAAGGACAAAAGTTCTACCTGGGATTCTACTACTGTTTTGCTGAGTGTTTTGGAATAACCCTCTGAGTTTTAGATGTCCACTTATAAACTCTATAAACATAATATATTATTGTTCCTAGATTTGATCCCTACTCTGTTATTTGACTACAAATAGAGTATTTCCCAAACTGTGGTAGAGATTGCTCCTTTTTAATAATAGAACATTTCTCCTCAAAACTAAATTTTAATAAGGCATACATGCATGTCTACCTTAAGACTACATTTCCCAACCTTCTTAAAATTTAGTTGTGACCACATGACAATCGTTCTAATCAATGGAATGAGTACAACTTCTGCTTCACTTACACAAAAAGAAATGATTTGTCTACCAATTTCCTTTTCTTTTCCCTGTGGCCTGAAATGTGAATCAGGCACTGTTGAATCAACCTTGACCAGTTAGACTCATATAAAACACTATCAAGGTCAAAGATCAAAGGAAGCTGTGTTCCTGGCCATTCACATGGAACAGAGGTTCCTACCTCACCTAGGCTTTCTGCCTACCTTTGGACTACAACAGGAAATAGAAATAAACTTCTCTCTTATTTGAGCTCCAGTATTTTCAGGTCACTTTGTTACTGAAACTTAGCCAGGACCCAACTAATTACAAACGCAAGCATCTCAGGGACCAGGAAAACAACATAAATCAATGACTCATATAGGTAATAATGGCTCAAACCTAGAGAACAAGTGACCTACCTAAAGAGGTCTAATTACTGCCGTATGGCAATGAGGCATAGGGTTTCCAATTCTACTAATTTATCAAGAAATCTGGATTCTCAAGTGAAATCTTCTAACATTTTAAAATGTTAGAAACTAATCCAAATTAAAAAAACAAACAAACAAAAAGTTGCAGGTTAAACAAAAATGCCTCCTTATCAGACTCAAGCCTATGTGTGCCAATTTGTAACGTATTCTCAATTATGAGTTAGTATTGAATGTAAGATGCACAAATACACTATCATCTTAACAACCACATTTTGGAATAACTACAGAGTGTATTTACCACATCAAATGTATACACTGACTGCCAAGTATCTTCCTATCAGAAATGTTAAATAAAAAAAATGTATATTTTTAGGATTAAAAATCTTGGACATGTTTTTAAGACACAATTCTAAATATGAAAAACATCCTAGTTGATGAAGATGAAAGTGTAGTAAAATGAGCCAAAATTCCTCAATCACCCTCCACTCTGCAATAGGAAGCAGCTGGACAGCTTATAAAGCCAATAGCTGCAACCCACACAGTAACTAGACTGCAATGAACTCAAATCCCACACCCACGTGATTATGCTATTAAGCGTGGCCTTTTATATCTTTCCCTTCATTTCATTATTGTGTAGCCACTCAAAAAGATACTTTACAGTGAATTTATTCCATGTTATTTTGAACTAAATTACACAAATGTTTAGCATCAACATTATTTAGCTAATAGTTTTCAGCCACATCACTACTACACTGTGATCATCAAAGATAACTTAACTTACTTCTGAGCTACAAAGTAATTATGAAGACATTATTTATAGAACCAGCATCTTCCCAAAAGATCTAATAATACGTCACATTACCGAGTGGGTCTTCTGTTGTTCCTTTACATCAATTAAAAAAAAAAGCACATAAATCTCAGCCCGAGGGAGGTAAGGCTGGGAGACAAAAAGGAGCACTCCAGAGCATCCATCAGTTCTGTGGAGTATGCCAACTCTTGGCTACCTGACCAATGTCAGAGTCAGAAGGTGGCTGCAAAAGTTTGTCTGATCTCGGCGCCCTTGGTAATCCACTGAAAGTCAAATCACAAGGCTCTGGAAGGGTGCCACAGAGTAGGATGTACTCAAACTGGACCATGCTTTAGTTCTCCTTGACATTGCCCTAGACCCCGATTGATCCATTCATTTTGCAAATGACCCAGTTAGTAGAGGGATTAAAGCATTTGAAATTGTCTTTTCAAAATATCATAGACAAACACTGAAAATCAAGACACAAACAAGGAATTTCAAATTTCTTTGTTTCTTAAAATACCTTCATTCTGCTGAGAATATTCATTCTATCAAAGGGAGCTCATGACTGTGTCTGATTTTAAGTGTCCAGAGTGAAGGACATAAAGAACATACACTTGGCCTTAGTACTTTTCATTATTTATAAGTTTACATCTAATGATTCTGTAGATTTGTTAGTTGCTTTTTTGTTTTGTTTCTACTTGCTTTATTTTTTTATTTTTTTTTTATTTTTTTACCTCTTTATACAATCCAGTGCATTCATAGTAGTCTCTGGAGGGGAGGCCAAGTCGAGGTTGGTCAACCTATAAAATAATACACAAAACATGAATACAAAGCATTCAGTGACTATAGAACAAGATCTCATTGTTCTTGACATTGATAAGGGTAACAACCACACACTGAGTGAACACATAATTAGGGAATAGTTTTCACACTATGTCAACGTATAAGACTGATGGGTGATGGATAATGTGGAAGATTGTACTATGATAATTGAGAAAAAAACAAAGAAAACTGGAACAGAAAATATACCGGTGAGGATTTTAACACAGAACAGAAGGTGCAGGTAGACAAAAACATGTCAGAATCTAGGATAGAGGAGTTCCTAAATTACACATTTATAGGCCATTCTACTTCCTGAGATTCTCACATGTGTGCCTGGGGGACATTCTATTCTACCCCAGCCCTTAAATGAGATGGAATAAAAATAAAAGGTGGGAAAGCTCGATGGTAAGTCTAACACAGTGGTCAGCAAACTGCGGCTCGTGAGCCACATGTGGCTCTTTGTCCCCTTTGAGTGTGGCTCTTTTCATAAAATACCACGGCCTGGGTGAGTCTATTTTGAAGGTGGTGTTAGAAGTTTAAGTTTAAAAAATTTGGCTCTTCAAAGACATTTCAATCGTACTGTTGATAGTTGGCTCTGTTGACTATGAGTTTGCCAACCACTGGCTTAGGAGAATGGAGGAGACACCTCCTCGGTTCTCTCCAAAGCTGCTCTGTTCTGGACTTCAGCAGATGCTGTTGTGAGCTAAGTGTTTAAAAGTCAAACTCGGGTCTGCTCTATGGTGTCCAGTCCATTTTCATACCCTGTGAGAATGCTACCTGGACACACTCACAGCTCTGTGTGGTAAGAAGGTGGGTACAGGGAAAGCTTTTGGGTGAAATGTCTTTGATGTTTGACTAAACTAAGTTTGACATTATCAATCATGGATAAATATTTCTTGGTTTATTATTAATAATAAAATATTTTGAGCCATTGAAGATTTAAGAAAAAGAAGATGGAAACAGGGCCCAACCAGAGCATTGGTGGGATAAAAGTGAGAATCTTCGTAGGAAGAGCCAATTCAGCATAAAAGAAACATCACCCAAAGGACTGGATGGAAAGAACAAAGCACATATCCAGAAAAAGGGCCCTGCTCCTTCTCCAACCTTCTGATCCTCCTTAAAAAATGCCCTCATACCCAGCTGGTGTAGCTTAGCGGTTGAGCGTTGAGCCATGAACCAAGAGGCCATGGTTCGATTCCCAGATCCTCTGGGGGGAGGGGGGGGCCCAATCAGGAGGCAACTTATCAATGATGGTTCTATCTCATTGATATTTCTCTCTCTCTCCCTTTCTGTCTCTAAAAATAATAATAATAATAATCAATAAAAAGTATATTTTATTAAATGTCCTTCTGATGATTATGCAGTATGCTGACATTTGAAAGTCCAAGGAGAGAAGAGTCAGATTAAATATCTTTCATGACTTGAACAAATAACTGTGAAGTTTATGCAATAGTGACATGAATATGATTCTGTGAATTGCAACTTTTGAGTTAGTTTATTTTTTAGGAGACAAAGTAAAAGCTTATAAATTTTTTAGTCTGTTCCAAACACAATCATTTAAGTATAAATCTCATTTTAAGTGACACCTTAAATAAACTTAATTGAATGGCTTACATTAAAACAAACAAACAAACAAGAAAAAACCCAGCCCTAGCTGGTTTTGCTCAGTGGATAGAGCATCGCATGCGGATTGAAGGGTCCTAGATTTGATTCCAGTCAAGGGCACATGCCCAGTTGGGGGCATGCAGGAGACAGCTGATCAATGATGTTTGCTCTCTCTCATCATTGATGTTTCTCTCTCTCTCTCCCTCTCCCTTCTTCTCTGAAATCAACAAAAATATATTTTTTAAAAATCCAGAAAGAAGAGGGGGTGGGGTGGAAAGTGGAGGCAGGTAGAGAAGGGTATGGGGAGATAAATGGTGATGAGAGGAGACTTGACTTGGGGTAGTGAGCACACAACACAATGTACAGGTGAGATATAAAATTGTATACCTGAAACCTGTATAATTTTATTAACCTATGTCACCCCAATAAATTCAATTTTTAAAAATCTAACAAAGCCACCTGGAAAGAATGGCATTTTATTTACCTTAATTGAGAAAAAAAAAAAAAGTATAAACATTCTTTAGTCAGAACCACAATTGTGTTCAAAATGCCTTCTCTATTTCTTTTTGGAAGCAATTAGGAATTTCTGGTTTCCAGACCTGCATTGCTATGTAAACCAGACTACACTAGTGAACATACAAAAAAAAAAAAAAAAAAACCCACAAAAAACGGGTGTTTTTCTAAGTAGGAGGAGTCTAAAAGATTTTCATTTCTTATTTATTTTATGAAAGGAGAAATATTTTTAAAAAGAAATCAGAAAGGAGGAATGAATGTCTATAACAAAAATATTTTCAAAATATAACGGGGAATCCAGATATCAGAGATGGAGTGTTAATGTATTCCCTCCTTACCCGTGCAATTCAAATGAGTATGGTTGTTATTTTTAGGTATTAATAACAACAATGGGTGTGGAAGTTTTATTACATATTAAAGATAACTTTGGCTGACAGCCACACAAACTTACATGAATTATATAGTTTGAAGAGTTTTTGTCATCAGTGCCAACAAAAAAATTAATAATGACTTTTTTCCCATATTTAGCATTCAGTTGTGCAATAGCCTTCTCAGCTGTCCAAGAAGTACCTAAAGTAATGAAAGGTGAAGTACATCTTTAGAAGAGTTAATGCAGTACTATGATACACAGCATAACAATATAGATGTTTATTGGTAATTTTTTTTTTCAAACAAAGAAGGAACACTGCCTTACCATATGTTTGCTCCCAGCCTTCTGTGGCTACTGGCCATTCATATATATCTGGTAACATGTTGAGTAGAGGCCTGCCACCTCTGCTATCAATAACAGCTTAGAAAAGCAATGGAAATAAATTTATTAAGAAGTCTATGCATATGTTGACACACTCTTGATGAAATACAGTGAGGAGCACTTACATTCATTTATGCACGATCTGTACAATGTTTTTGCTTTCTGCACTGCTACTATATCATCAGGTTTGGGTTCCTGAAGGACATCTGAAATGGGGCATTTAATAAAATGCATGAATATAATTGCTTGTTGGCAACTGTAATGAACATTTACAACACAGGTTCAGTAACAAATTTGCTTCTTTATATGTATGTTCACTTCCTTCCCCTGCGAAAACCCTACAGGGAAAACCAGCCCCCTTTCCTAATCATTATTCCTACTGCAGGACTGGGACTCAGTTTCATTGGCCAAGCTATATAAAAGTGTTTTCAGCCAAAACCGGTTTGGCTCAATGGACAGAGCGTCGGCTTGGGGACTGAAGGGCCCTGAGTTCGATTCCGGTCAAGGGCATGTACCTTGGTTGCGGGCATATCCCCAGTAGGAGGTGTGCAAGAGGCGGCTGATCGATGACTCTCTCTCATCGATGTTTCTAACTCTCTATCTCTCTCCCTCCTCTCTGTACAAAATCAATAAAATATATTAAAAAAAAATTAAAAATAAATAAATAAATATTTTTTAAAAAAGTGTTTTCAACTAGATTATCGTGTGTGTGTGTGTGTGTGTGTGTGTGTGTGTGTGTGTGTGTGTGGTGTGTGTGTATGTGTATGTGAACAGTGATGTGTATTGCTCAGCCACAGATACATTACTTTGGTTTCACATTGAAATAAAAAGATAATAATAATACAGAGGAATTTGGAATTTAATATGAGAGTGCTCCTGATGGCTGGAAAACAATTCTCTTAGTGTGTTCAGGTTCCCAATACATTGAACAATATTATTGTTTTACTATTAGGGATGTCAGAAAATAGTAAAACTCGTTTTTCTACAAAGTAATTTCTAACGGAGAAAAAAGGATAGAGGATAGTGGAGGACTATTTATGACTTTCTCAAATTCCCAGGGAGAGGGTCTTAAGCTGGGTTAGATATTTTATAGTGATGTCAATACAGGGTCAGGATGGGAAGCCTAGGGAGGTGGTGTTTAGTGGAAATCACTTAATTTCTTCTTCTGTAAAATAACATCAAGATGCCATCTCTAGAGATACTAGGGTTATTGTTTGTATGGCTAAAAATGAAAGCAGGAATGCTAAGAGATGCCAGCATGTCCATTTCAGTGTCTACCACCCTCAGCATGACTAAGTGGTGGGTCCACAAAACGTGGAGGGATTATTTTAATCCTGCTCATGTTCCTCATAAAGGCCAAGAGTTGTATCTTTAAAAATGGATAGATTAAGAGAGAAATCTTGGGTGCAAAGACACACACTTCACTCACCTTTCAAAACGACTTCTAGTTCATCTCTTAAAATGTCAAAGTTACTGTAACGGGAGCTGGTCTCAGGGATGACGTTGCGTTTCAACCAGCCTCCACAGGCATATTTGAAAAAGTCGGAACAAGGCTCAGCAGTGGGATCCATGTTCTGGATGAGTCGAGCAGCTGAAGGACCAGACAAACGAGACAAAACAAAGGGGTGTGTTTCTTTAGTTCGAAAGTAGGGGGGAAGGTATGTTGCTTCCACATTATGAGCAAGTCAACTGGCCTGATGCTCCTTTTTCTGACATGTAACTGTCAGTTCAGAGTAGAATGATGAATATTATCTAGGAATAGTCCTCCTTTACTACAGTTGATTGGTTTTATTCTTGAAAGGTCTGAGGCCTTCCAGTCTACATCTTAGGTTCTTGCTAGTTCCTATCTCAGATGAAGAACCACATATAGGTCAGCCTATACTGCCCTGGGCTTGAAGTTAATACAAGGTCACTCTTCATCCTGACAATATGAGCTGATGACTTTGCTCTCCAGGGGCTATGACTTTTGAATGTCTCTCACACTCCAAGGGATGAGGGATTGTTAACAGGTTTGATCATTGTAGTCAGGATCTGAAGCTACATTTATTACTTCTTGAACCTTGCTTACACCATTTTTGCAATTCAAATTTGACATCACATTTGCATTTGTTTATGTAGAGTCTGTCATTATGAAATTGGCTTGTAAGCTCATTAGTTTTTCTTATGTCCACTCTTCTATCTTTGAGAACTACAAAGACGCAAATCAACCACTGAGTACTTACAAGGTACAAAACACTGACTGTGCTAGGTGCTGCAATGGATAGAAGGAGGCATAAAACATGAATTATTTCCACTGCAGGTAAGAATCATGTACAGGAGGCTCAATGCCCACAATCTGTACATCTGGAATAGTGAGAAAAACCTTCCCACTGCTCTCTGCATGTTTTTTCTTCCTTAGACAAGGTGAACTGTTTTGCAAGGAAAACAGGAGAGCAATTGAGAATTCATCTGTATCAAGAGAGTGTAATTCTCAAATGAGCTTCTGGAAATACTTCAGTGTCTGACTAAAGTCATTTCATTAAAAACTTCACACAATTGCTGTGCTGTGAGGATTATTTCAACTTGGAATGGCAAGTCTGTTTTCCAGCTGAGCTTTGAACCCCTCCCCCCCACTCTCCTCCTTTCTCACCACCTTATGACCCACTGGCTTGGCTGCCATCTCAAGCTCCAACTCTCTGGGCTGCTTCCAAACCAGTTCTCCCTGGACTTTTAGACTTTGATATATAGGACAATTGTTTTCACAGCCTCCCAGGTTTGAACCTTGGATAAAAGTCTATTTCTCCCTTGACCTTGGACTTATTGCTAATAACTTTGTCTATTTTCTATGCTCTTTTCATGATCAATGTCAACCTAGTTTATCTTCATTCTCTTTTGACTAAAGGTTACCCAACTATTCACCTTTCTAGTACTATCTCTCTACATGCATACATTCCACAGTTTCACAGAATCAACTTTCCAAAGCATACCCTTTAGCACAGGCCACTCCCTTGCTCAAATGTCAGTGGGTTCACAGTAGCTTGGTTAAATTACAACTCTTTAATTTGGCCTCTAAATCTTTACTGGACCAATCAAATCTCCATCTTCCCCCCTTTCCCTCTCTGCACTTTTTATACGAACTCCTGCTCCAATCAGATGGGCTTGCTCCACATATCACAAATACCTGTGGTTTCCCTACCCTGTGCCTTTGCTTCTCCCGGGACCCCATCCACCTTAGCCTTTTAACTCCTCCCATTCTCTTCACATTCTATCCACTAAGGTTTAGCTATGACCCATCTCTTTCCTGAAACTTCCATTATTCCAAACTTCAGGGAAGTTTTCTTTCTCTGAACTGAGAGCTCGTGGCCTCATTCAGTCTTTTATGCTTAGATGAAGGTACATATTTAGGTTTCTCATTGTAGTTACCTATCTGTCTTTATAACCATTCTGGTGATGAACCTAACCTTTTTGTATTCCCATCACCCAGTACCTCAGTAAAACATGTGCAAGTATGTTTGTGTGGCAATGTTCCCCAATCATCTATGAGTCCTGTAACTCCTTCCTCCTCCACATCCCCTTCCCGACTATGCAGGTCAGATCAATTCTCATTACACAAGCTCCAGAATCCATCCCATCCTTCCAATTGCCACCATTTCCATTCTCTTTCAGACCCCACATCTTTCTCTCAGGCTCTACTCTTGCACTTTCACCCAATCTATAGCCCCAGGTATCTCTCCATGCCACCCATTCTGTGTGCCAGTCAGATTAACTGTCATAACAATTCAGCATACCATTTTCCTCTCCCAGGGTCTCAATATAATCCTTCAGCATTCCTAATAAATTCCAGATCCCACAGCATATTCTCACCCTATTATATCAGGGAAGCTTCTCTCATTCCTCCCTCATATGAGCCAACTGCCCCAAATAAATGAATGTACTGAGTTTCTGCTGTGAAACACCTTATAGTTTTCCCACTTCCATACCTTTGATCATGTTGCCCCAACTTCTACTAAAATATCCTTTCTCTATTATTCCACATTTAGAAATTTCAGGAATTTTTAAGCCCAGTTCAAATCCTCCTTCTTCATGAAGGATAACCCCTACAAAGCTGGCATCATATTATTTATTTGTTGTTGGAAAATCCATTATCTCCTCCCCTGGACTGTGGGTTCTGATAAAGAAAGAAATTCGTATCCCAGTTCTCACGGATCCTAACATAATGCTCAATCCAGACTCATCTGTAAAAACATTAACTTGAATCCCCAGGTAAAGATTAGAAAATTAGTCTTAAAAATAAAAAGTAGAGAGAAAAAGTAATCCCCTTGAAATTGAAAGGAAATGAAGAAACAATGGCTGGGGAAATATGAAAACATAGATCCTAAAAACATAGATTATCATGTAAAGAGAAAAGCAAAACAAAAGTGGAGCTTGAAAGAAGTGCTAACTATGATGCTCTAAGCATACATTTTTAGCAATTTTATGTAACTCTTGTTTTTCAAAACACTTTAAAAATTTTAACCTGTATGTTGTAAAGGCTACTGCCATTTGGGGAGTCCTATTTTCTTCCCCTCTCTGGGGCAATGGATGGTTTATGTGCTAACACCACAAAAAGCAGTAAACCCATAGTAGGGAGAGCAGTGAACAAGCAATGAATGAATAGAATGAGCACATCTTATTGCCTCTTTGGAAATACCACATGCCCTTTTAAATACCCGAACAAAAAGAAGGAGTAGTGGTTACAAAGCTGTTATGCTCCTGAGTGCAAACCCACTGCCATGTGCATGCTTCTGTTACTTCCCAAACTTCCCACAAGGAACAAAGACAAACCCTTCTCTCCTCTTAAGCTAAATTCCTCACTTCATACCAAGACAGTTCAACAACTACTTACATCTGGACAACAAACCAAAGCAGCAGCATCCAAGCAATTTGAGACGGATATGCAGACAAGAGATAGAAAGAGGCAACTTTGCAAACACCTCCCAGTGCCCCTCTTTAAATTTCCCTTTGACCAGAGAGCTCATCTGGGTATGGGCACTCCCAATCACTTCAAAGAGAGCTCTCTGCTCTGATGAGTATTTTGGGGCCATGGGCCAAGGCAAGTCAAGGGCTAGCAATTTTATGCTGGGTCTTTGATCAACCTTCCTTTAATCTCTTATCGTGAGTCTGATTCTGGTTTTGCACCTTATCCTCCGGACCTCCTCTGGGCTGACTTTTCTTTGAAGTCAGCGGTAGACTTGTGGGTAGAAGGGCTGTAGGAAACAGACATACCACTGTCAAGCTGGTCGTAATTGTTTTTACATTTTGCACTTTGTTTTGAATTACTCAACCTCTCTACCGAGTCACACCTGGGCTCTCCAGATGTTTCCTTATCTCTGGGTCTGTGACTTCTGAGTAAACAAATGTTTAAAAAACAAAATTATTCACCTTTATAATAAGTAGATATAAAAATGGATGTAGTAAAGGCAAATGTACTGACGTGGAGTGCTGTTGACCAGATGTTTTCAAGGTAAAAGAGAGAGAGTCAACTAGGATTTTTAAAAATCTGTTTAAAAGCACAGAAAGTCTAGAGGGCATTTAGAGCAGTTATATCTGGGTGGAGGGAATATGACTGTGTTTAATTTTGTGCTATTTGCTTATCTTTATTTTCCAATTTGTATTAGATGAACATGTACTGCTTTCACAATAAGAAAAAAAAAGTCTATTTTTAATTGAAGAAAATAGTCACATAAAGACAAGAAAAAGTAATCTTCTATTAATAATGAGCTTATTTCTTGTGAATGACAATTCTGAATTTTCTAGCCTGATAATAAATGACACACCATTATTTCCCAAACTAATCTTCTTGTAACATTCTCCCAACTTATTTGACTATAGGAATTTTAAAGCAAGCTCAACTACCAACTGGGAAGGTATTAATTACTGTATTCATTACCAAGGGTCTATCGTGTGGATATGGATTAGGTAAATGTTACATCAGGCAGGCCTGCTTTGAATTCCTGAGCATCACCACTTTTTAGTTCTACCGTAGTCCTTCCTTACCTGTGGTTTGGCTTTCCATGGTGTCAGTTACAGACAGTCCACGGTCCAAAAGCATTAAATAGAAAAGTCCAGAAGTAAAAAAAAAAAATCTTAAGTTTTAAGTTGCACACAGTTCTGAATAACATGATGAAATCTCACACTGCCACAGTCCATCTTGCTCAGATGTGAATCATACCATTATCCGGCATATCTATGCTCTATATGCTCCCCACATGTTAGTCTCTTAGTGGCTGTCTTGGTTATCAGATTGACTGTCCAGGTATCTCAGTGCTTATATTCAAGTAGCCCTTAGTTTACTGATTAATGGCCCCCAAGCACAAGAATAGTAATGTTAAGTGATTCCTTTAAGGAAGAAGGTATGCTGCAAAACATAGTTTCTATAGGGTCTGATACCTTTCTGCAATTTCAGGTATCCCTCATGGATAAGGGTGGGTGACTATATTAGATTAAGTAGTTTTCTTCAAATTAAGCAACTAATAAATGATGGAGTGCCAGGACTTGCGCTTAAGTATCTGTGGCTCTGAGCTCATCCTCTTCCCACCATACTTTGGATACAGCAGATGGGAACACATGAGA